TCATCACAGGCCAACCGTAGCCGGGAATCTGGGGGAATGAGTTGTCTGGGATGATCCCATGGGACCAGGGTGTCTGTCTGTGGCCTCCCCAAAACACGGAACAACAACTCATCCCCCGATTTGCAGGGCTTGGCGGGTTTGTGGTGTGACTTGGCGTGGGAGAAGGCACATCAGCTTCTTTCCCGGGGGTGTGCTCTCTGGGGAAAGGCTGCAAATGAGCTGCTTGAGAGATGGGAGGAAGTTGGTGGCTTTGTTGAGGGTTTTTTTGAGAGCACAGTTGGGTTACGTTTTGGGTCTTTTGTTTGTGTTGGAGGCAGCAGCTTTTGTTTCGCTTTAAGACGTGGAGGACTTGAATTTGTTTTTACATGAGATTGGAGGGAGACGGGATGCAGGACTGTAATCCATTAGCGATTTTGTGGGTGCGCGCACTGAAAACACCGAGGCGTTGACAGGCGGCTGTTCTGTTCTTTAATATTGCTCATTTAAAGGTCACACACGTGATAAAAATAATTTAAATGATATTCAAATTGGAAGAAGAAGGCGATTCAGTGCTTCCTCCTACTTCTGCATTCCAGTACTCCTTGTAGGGTGCAGCCAGTGGTGCTGCTTCCTTCCAGAATGGTCTCTGCATGTATGCCCTGGTTTCTTTTCTTCCCTTTTCTTTCTTTCTTTTACCTAATGGTATATCTTGGAGCTCATTTTCTACCTGCAAATGGGGAACTGCTTTATTCTCTTCAGTGAGACATTTATTGGATCCTCAGGTGAGATTTTAAAGGCCGTTTGGGTGGCAGGATGCTGAGTACTGGACCTTTACCCCAGGGGACACCCTCCTGTCACCTGGCTCTCTGCAGGGTTCGAGCTGGGTTTTCTCTCCTTCCCCGTTCTAACCCCGTCAGCCTCATTCGCAGCGGTCAGCCTCAAACAGTGGTGAGATGTTTGCTAACCTTCTGTGTCAGTTTTCCGGTATCTTTAGACGGAAGTATCTACTGCCTGGCTAAGTAGATGCCTGAGGGGACATACGGGACTGGGGGACACAAGGAAGAACTCTGGTCCAGGAGCCAGGCGCTAGAACCAGGCTCCAGACCGCGCTGCCCCGCGGCAATGCAGTGTGAGCCACAGGCGTGGTCTTGAACTGTGTAGTGGCCTCATTCTCAAGCATCAAAAGCAACAGGTGAATACATTTTCTAATCATTGTGCCTGACCCGATGCATCCAAGACATTATCAGCTCGACATGAGTGACAGATACTGGAAAATCAGAGATATTTTATGTTCTTTATGTCCTGCTGGTCTTTGAAATCCAGTGTTCATTTTACTCATACAGCTTATCTCAGCGGAACCAGCCACGGTTCAGGAGTTCCGTGGCCACCTGTGGCCAGTGGCTGCTGTATCGGAGGCACAGCTCTTGGCCCGTCAGCTGCCGCTGATTCCCGAATCCTCCGACCTCAGTGCAGAATCGGCAAGCCACGGCAGCCAGGGCAGGCCGGTCTCCCTGCTTAGCTGAATCTCTGCATCTGTGAAATGGGGACGGTCGGACGTGACCTTGGTCAGGTCGCTGCAGAGGAGCATGTGCCTCGGGGAGGAAAAGGAGGGAAGCCTGATCTTGTGGGATTATTGTTAGGATTGGGATTCACTTTGGCGAGGCCTCAGGGTCCACTCCCTTAGACCCAGGTCTGCCTCCCCATCACTTCTCTCAGCCTCGAGCACCTTGTCAGCAGCACCCTGCTTGGCACACAGTAAACTCAGTCACTTGGGACTGTGACTGTCACCATTCCTCTGATCGGAGAAACGCGGCCCAGAGTGGAGCGGTTTTCCCAAGGTCGCACGGCAGCGAGACGGGGTGGCGGCAGACGCTGGCCCGTTTTGGCTCCCTGCTCCTCTCTGGCAGGCAGTCATCCTGAAAGCCAGCCGCCCGTTTCCACGCAGCCAGGTAACGGAGACAAATACACCGAGACCACTGAGCTACTTGAACAAGGGCCGGTCCAAGAAGCGTTTCCCTGGCACTTGCTGGGGCGGGCACGCACACAGGGTTTGTGTCAGGTCACGGCTCCACAGGGCAGAGGCCGGTTGTAGTCAGTGCACCGCACCGTGACTGGCGTGAGAGTCCTCGGTGTGATTTCAAACAAAGGGCCTCCTTCTAGGTGGCACGCGATGCACCGTTGGCGAGACTGCAGTGGAGGAGAAAGTGAGCTCAGTGGTCAGCCAGAAAGCCGGAGGCGTGACACCGTGCAACAATAACAGGGCGCCGTGTCTTCCTGAGCCTTCGCCCTGTGACCTTGCCGAGCACCCTGCACTCGCTGGTTCATTGAATCCTCCCAGTTCCCCAGGGAGGTGGTCATTACATGATGACCCCATTTTACAGATTAGAAAACTGAGGCTCCAAGAAAATAAAGAACTCACCTAGAAACACACAGATAGGGCCGGAAGGGGCCTTTAAAATCTTCCCTGGAGCAGAAGGGTGGCCAGCGCTCCAGCTTGGCCCGGGACTGAGGAGCCCACTGGACACTAGGCATTTGCAAGCTGGGACAAGGGGCTCTCCCTGTAGTTGCTTAATTTATTCATCGGTAAAATGGGCAGAGTCAACCCTGCCACTGGTCCGGGTGAGAATAAAAAATATGACAGCAGAGGAGGGTGTGCTTTGGGAAGGAAAAAGAGAGACGCCTCATATTGTGGGGGTGCTTTTAGGGTGAGGATTGGCCACAGTGAGGACTCAGAGTCCACTCACCTGGTCCCAGGGCTGTGTTCTCTGTCGCTCACTCTCATTCTGTCTCTCGGACTCAGACTTCTTCCTGCCGCTCGAGCCCAGCCCCTTTCCAATTCCTTCCAAATTTCAAGTTGCCTTTCTAGAGCCAAAGTCTGAGAAACAGCACCCCACTTTCCCAAGCACCTGCCAACAGCCCTGTCTGATTTGAAAACAGCTAAGAAAGAGAGAGGCGGGGCTGTTGGGGGGTGGGGGACGTTGTGGGTTGCTTTATTGCTTTTCCTTGAGCCAAGCCCAGCCTATGTCCTTTGCGCAGGTCTGGCCCAGGCCGGCGTGTGGAGGAAGCGAGCATGGGGGCCTCGCCCCCCAGGAGCTCCCCTTCAAGTCTCTTCTTTAATTAAAGACCTCAGCCGAGTGCCCACTCAAAGCGGTCGGGAGGTCCCCGTTGGCTCTGCTTCCAGCTACATCCGCCGTGTACAAACCCAGTGAACATGCTGGGTTTGGTACCGGGAAGAAGTGGGCTCACGAAGAGCGAAGGAAGCAGGGGGCAGGGCAGACCGAGCCTCTCCCCGACGAGGAGAGCACGGTGGTTCCAGAACCCCAGCAGCAGGATGCTGGAAGCCACTCAGCCCGTCTCCACGGGCCACACATGCACACTCACACGGCAGAGAAATGACACCGCGCGAGGCGATGCATGAATACACAGAGAGACACACACACAGCAACACCAGATGGAGAACACAGCCTGGGCTGGGCTGGGTAGTCATTATTCCCTCACCCACACAGAGGGACTGGCGGAGTTACGTAAAGCAAGCTGTAAAATGGGGGGGGGGGGGGGGGGGGGGGGGGCTTAACTTCCTAACCAGCCCCGTAGGGGACCCAGGAGGGGGTACCTCCTGCTCATGGGGGTGTCTGCATCCACGTCCTGCTCTCAGAGGTAGCAGGAGCCTGTCATCTGCCTCAGCCCAGGCCCTGGGTGACCCCAGGAAGCTGCTAGAAGGGAAAGGAGGGAGTGAGTTGTTAGCAGTGGCAGATGGGAGCTCCGTCCCTGCGCTAAGGCATGGTGAATGCCCGCAGAGGGGTGGAGATGGATCTGGGGGTAAGGAAAGGGCTGTACGGGTTCTCCACTGCCCCCCACCTGTCCCCAATCCACCTGCCCCAGCCCGGACACATAAGACACACCTGCATCCCTGCCCGCTGTGTACATGCACAGGCGCCCACTCCTCCCCTGAGCCACGGCGGCCTATTGGCCTTCAGTTCTCCAAGCTCACCTCTTGGCTTCCCTGAGCCTGGAGGAGCTGGTGGGAGTTGTAAAAGTAACTAGAATATAAATGTTTTAAACCTAGACTGTAAGTTCAAAAGCTTAGGCTCAAGAGTGGGACCAATCGGAGTTCAAATCTTCCCTCCGCCTTCATTCTCTGCTTGGCCTTGGACAGGTCACTGACCCTTCCCAAGCTTCGGTCTTCTTGTCTATGGAAGGGTTACTGTGAGAATCAAAGAAGAAACTTCCTGTTAAGAGTGTCTGTGCTCAGTAACTGTCTGCTCTGTTTAGTCTTTGGGGATTTTTCTTCTTCGTTCAACAAGCACTCGCTGAGCACCTGCTCGGTGCTTATGTTCACCTGGGCGTGCACAGTCCACTCTCCTGGTGTTTCTCCGTTGGGGTTTCAGGTGGCCTGTAAAGTACTGTGTCCCCCAACGCGTTATAGGGACCTGTGTCTGGTACTTATACCCAATTGGGTTTGTGATGGTGGCCAAGTCTGCCCTTTTGAATCTGGAACGAGTCAATAATTATAAAAACGGTCATAAAAGCCAATTGACATCTTTAACCGGTGGCTCCGCGGAAGGCAGTGTCCCCTTCCAGGGGTTGTGGCGGGGGCTTTGGGAGCAGCCGGATCGGAGAGCCCACAGCTCCGTGCTGGCTGCGCCCCTGACCCGTGGATGGAAAATGTGAAGCAGAGAGACAAAGGCCACAGGTGTGACAAGTTGGAGGGGTGGCTTCTGGCGGTGGGGGAAAAAAAAATAAGAGAGGTCTTCTGAGTCTTGCTTTCTGCTTCCTGGGGCTGAGAGGACTGTGAGTGTTCCCCAGGGCTTTGGTCATGGAGATGAACCCAGGCAGTTTGCAGCCAACTGGGAAAGAACCCTCCTTGAAGAAAAGGGATTTTGTTTCTGGGTTGGTCCCTCTGGAGCGCCTGGTGGCTGACGTCTCCGTGTGCCGGCTTCGTGTTGAAGGTGGTGTTGGGCGCTCCCACCTCGACCTCTTTTTAAACTCTCTCCATTCTGTCCCTTGCTCCTTCTCTTCAGCTCAGGAAGCTCTGGATCTCATCTGCGTCTCACGGGCTGGCGATGCCCAGGGAATAGCCCCCAAGAGCATGCGTGGCCTCTAGACACACCCACCAGATCCTTCCCCTCACAGTCCGCCTGACCTGTTGCTTAGGGACACGTCCACCGCTTCTCCTGACGTCTGCCCGATCAGCCATCGCTTCCTCAGAGAACAAGGAGGGAGGCAGGCGCGCGAAATCATGCCACCGACCGCTGAGCAGCAATGAGTGGGTGATACCGAGTTGACGTCAAAGTCAGACAAGCCCAAGAGACTCTCCGCAGCCCCGGCTCCTTCCTCCTCCGCACAGCCTGAGCGGGGCTCCTCCTGGCGAAGCCGCCTCGGCCCGACCCAGTCTGTGGTCTTCAGACCCTCGGACCCTGGACACCATGGAGAATCACATGTTCAGTGTCCAGCAAATCCAACCCAACGTGATTTCTGTCCGCCTCTTCAAGCGCAGAGTGGGGGGCTTGGGGTTCCTGGTGAAGGAGCGGGTGAGCAAGCCCCCCGTGATCGTCTCCGACCTGATTCGAGGGGGTGCCGCCGAGCAGAGCGGCCTCATCCAGGCCGGAGACATCATCCTCGCGGTCAACGGCCAGCCGTTGGTGGACATGAGCTACGCCAGCGCCCTGGAGGTGCTCAGGGGCATCGCCTCCGAGACCCACGTGGTCCTCATTCTGAGGGGCCCGGAGGGCTTCACCACGCACCTGGAGACCACCTTTACTGGGGACGGGACCCCCAAGACCATCCGGGTGACACGGCCCCTGGGCCCCCCCACCACGGCTGTCGATCTGTCACACCAGTCGTCAGCCTGCAAAGAGCAGCCGCTGGCGGTGGACGGGGCCACGGGCCCCAGCAACGGGCCCCAGCACGCCCAGGACAACGGGCCAGAAGCTGGCTCGCTGTCCCACACCAACGGCCTGGACCCTGCCAAGAAAAATGCCGGGGCCGCCCGTCAGTGCAGTGAGGAGCACAATGAGTTGCTCAAAGAGATCAAGCCTGTGCTGAACCTTCTCACCTCGGCTGACAGAGGGATCAACGGAGGGGGACCTGCCAAGGCGGAGACAAAAGATGCAGAAGTTCAGGTGGACAGGTAAGCCCCGCAGCTGTGCATGGGCGCATGTGCTGCAGCTCAGCCTCTCAGCCCGGGAGCCAGCCTGAGCTGCCCCCGACATCTGCTGGGCACGGCCTCTCTCTCACCCTTGCCTCTTCCCTTTAAAACTGCAAGAGCAGATGGGCGTAGCAGCTAGGACGGGGGTGGGCAAACTTTTTGACTCGAGGGCCACAATGGGTTCTTAAACTGGACCGGAGGGCCGGAACAAAAGCATGGATGGAGTGTTTGTGTGAACTAATATAAATTCAAAGTAAACATCATTACATAAAAGGGTACGGTCTTTTTTTTTTTTTTAGTTTTATTCATTTCAAACGGGCCGGATCCGGCCCGCGGGCCGTAGTTTGCCCACGGCTGAGCTAGGATGTATCCCTTGCCAGGAAGCCCAGAGCTGTCAGTCATGGTAGCCGGTGTCATGTTTTCTGATCTTGATCCCATGTAACCCTCCAGCCACCCCCGGCGATGGGTATGTTTGCAGCCCACATGTCCCGGGTGAGAAGATTGAGGCTCAGAGAGGAGGGGCTTTCCCGAGGCCACCCAGGAGGTGAGGTGGGTGTCAAGGCCTTGGGAAGAGAGGAGAGAGCTGAGCACTGGGAAACCTCAGGCTCAGCCGGTTCTCCCGTTGGGCAGCCTGTCGAGGGCAACAAAGGCTCTAACAGAGGGGGAGGAATCAAGGTAGAGAATTGGCCCCAACTCCCCCAAATAGGGCTCCTGCTCGGATTAGGTGGGAGCCGAGGCTAGAACTTGAAGAAGTGGGTGCCAGCCCCTCGGTGTGGCCCAGGCCGGCGTTTTCTGATTCTATGGAGAGGAAAGCTGGCAACCCAGTGGGTTCTTCCAGCTCCTTCTCTGGGCAGGAAGCAGCAGCCGGGCCAACCTTGCACGTCGTGCAATTGTTTGACTGAAAGCAGCAGAAAAAACTTGTTTTGCAGGAGGTAAGATTTGGGAGAAAGCACTGCAGGGCAAGTCCAGGGCTCCATGAAACCACTAACAGAAATGGTAAGGATGAGGGATATTTAATAATAGCACGTGTGCCCCAAGCTCAATGGTTTATACCCGTGCTGGACTCAAAGCAACCCCCCCCCCTTTAACAAATCTTTTATTTAAATATTTTTGTATTGATTTCATAGAGGAAGGGAGAGGGAGAGAGAGATCAAAACATCAATGATGAGAGAGAAACATCGATCGGCTGCCTCCCACACGCCCCCTACCTGAGGTTTGAGCCTGCAACCCAGTACGTGCCCTGACCAGGAATCGAACCATGATCGCCTGGTTCATGGGTTGACACTCAACCACTGACCCACACTGGCTGGGCTTAACAGATCTTTTTAAATGTCCCTTTACTAACCAGCAGCTAATTCATGGATCATATAACCTACCCACACTTGACATTTTTAAAATCGATTTAATGCCCTAACTACAGAATAAAGGAGACAGAGCAAAAAGTAATTGATGATAAAAGAACCTACAAGTTCACATGTTAGTGCTCAGGCCCAACTCCACTGGAATGGTCAGCTGTTTGCACCTAAACATAGAATTGCCGCCAACACAGCGGAGTCAGATGCAGATTGACACATGTGTGTCGTTTTGGTACCTCGAATGCCACCAGCAGCGTCGTCGCCCTGGTGATGTGATCTCCTGAAATGGTGAACGGCTCCCAATAAAACGATGCCATTCCTCTGATTTAGTTGCAACAGTGGCATGCCTGGGACATTCAGTCTATTTTAAAGCCTATATATACATAATGACAAATTGGGATCATGGCTCAGCAATTTAGGCATTTTTTAAAAATCTGTGCGAATGTCCCAAGGTGGCGTGGCAGTCAGGACCCTTAGTGCTCGTGTGGGGAGTGTGCCTGGCGTTGCAGGATGTCCGCGACCCCAGAAGCCACCTCCCTCCCACTGTGACAACCACCGGTGCCCCCACAAATTGCCAAACGGCCTCCTAGCGGCTGAAATAAGAGCCTCACTAAGAATCCGTGTCCCTGGTCAGGAAAGGGAAACGCAGGGACAGTGTCTTTGGGGTCACTCTCGGGGCTGGCAGGCCGGGCACAGTCCAGGCCCCTGGAGCATGTGGCTGCCTGGAATGATGCACCCTCCCAGGAGCCTCTCCACCCAAGCTGCATGTGGGGGTAGGATCGGAACTGGCACCCCAGATGCTGCATGAACAGGTGACCATGAGGCGGGCAGCCCGCCAGGCCCTGAGCCCCACACCCAGGTTTGTTTACTGGTCTGTGACTTCTGGGTCTGAGCAGAGGCTGGTTCTCAGCGGTGCCCCTGACCTCCTGCTCTCTCGGCCTCATTCCCTTCCTTCCATCCCTCTTTCCTTTGGACAGACTTATTCTGCTCCATCTAGTCCCTCTCCTTCCTGGGGCATCCCTGGTCCTGTTGTTTGGGGGTGCTGGCCTTTACCTGGGGGTAGAAGTGATGCTTAGTCTAGACACAGCCCCATCCCTTCATCCCAGGGTGGCGGGTGGCCCTGGCAGGTGGTGGCAGTGTGTGAGGGGTTGCAAGGAAGAGAAACTCGGGGCTTCCAAGTCCTCCTGCACTTGGGAGCGATCACTTTAAAATGCTGCCTAGCAGAGGAAATCCAGGTTGTCAGCTTGCTGCCCTGAAGGAGGGTTCTAAAGAGGCCAAGGTCCCCAGTCCAGCCTCCATCTGGACCAGGTGGTCAGCCCTGGGCTCTGATAACTTCTTTGCCACTTGGGGTTACTTACAGATTACCTCGTTGCAGGAGTTAGGCTCCCTAAGTAGGACATGTGGTTTTAGCCCCCTTTTATAGAACTGAAGCTCAGAGAGGTTAAGCAACTTGCCCGGGGACACACAGCACTGTCCTGGTTCTACCTAGAAATCTCACAATGAGTGCCCAGAGTTAAAGAGAAACCAGGCAATAGAATGTGGCTAGAGGAACAGAAGTCAATTTTGACCCTAGAGTATTAGCTTAACTTGGGGGCAGGGGAGCCTTCTGTGACAAGCATGAGTTTTGGTTTTGGGTTTTTTTTTGGCAGGTTTTTTTTATTGTGGTAAAATTGGTATACAAGGTTATATATATTTGAGGCATATAACATTATAATATCTGTATACACTACATCATGTTCACTATCGTAAATCTAGTTACCATCCTTCACCATAGAATTGATCCCCTTCACCCATTTTGCCCTTCCTCCAAACCCCTTTACCTCTGGTAACCACCAACCTGTTCTCTGGACCCATGAGTTTGCTTTTGTTTGGTTTTTATATTTCACATATACATGAAATCATACAGTAGTTGTCTTTCTTCCTCTGACTTATTTCACTTTGCAGAATGCCCTCAAGGTCCATGTACGTTGTCACAAATGGCCTGGGTTTTATTATCATTATGTTCGGCCGCTACAGAGCACTGCAGGTGGGCCTGGCCCCATGCTAAGGTCTTTACATCGAGGACTTCGTTTGCTCCTCATAGCACCCTGTTTTCCTGTTACTTGTCCCAAGTCACACAGCTGACTTTGTAGATTGCAGTGTTGGCCACAGATCACTTGACCACTAGTCATCAAGTTTCAGAGGTTGTCAGATTATTTTCTCAGAGTCTAAAAGGGAAACTGAGGCCCTGAGATGCCTCGGGGGGTGGTGGGGAGGGGCTGTTGCGGGCTCTCCAGTTTCCCAGGATCCAAACTCAGCCCAATCCGCCCAGCCTGGGCCCTGGAGACACGAGAATCCTGCCCAGCGTTTGGGATACGAGGTGTTACAGTCATGACTAGTCCCGAACCCAGAGGCCCGAACCCCATTCTCAGCTACAGCATTTGCCGTAGAATTCTGACTCTCACGGGCATACTTTTCTCTCTATGGAGACCGTTTTCCTTTCTAGCATGCTGAAATCTTGGAGAAAAACTTTGCCCATCATACCACAGGACTGGTTTCCACAGTCCCCACATCTTCCTGCTAGAATTCAGCCTCCAGAATCCACAACCAGGTGGAGGCAGAAACCCAAGGCTGTTGGCATGGGGTGGGTGAGAAGGGGGTTCAGAGAGAGGGGGTTGTCTGCTGAGAGATGCCAGCAGGGCTTCCTGCCAAGACCGGCTGCTCCTCAGCGGCCCCTTGCCTGGCTGGGCCAGAGCTGGCAGCCCCCACCTGCAGACTGTGCCCTGCACACAGACCCGGCCCACCTGTTCCCCCTCCTGGGTCCTCGGGGTTGGTTAGTGGTCAGCACTGGGCTGATCAACACTTGCAAGAACTCTCTGTGGAGTCAGGCCCAGACCCCCCACACATCCCCGTCCCCACTGTGTGCGCGGTAAGAGCATCCTGGCTCGCAGGGAGCCTCGGCTGGAAGGATCTGGCAAAGGTTCCCAGAAGGTGTAGAGATGCTAGACCGGCTCTTGGCTCGGGTCTGATCACCCAGCTAGCAAAGTGGAAGAAAAATGGCTTTGGTTTAGACATTGCCAGAAAGCACCGAAAAATGCTCCAGGTGGGAGACAGAGTGAATGTGAGGGCTGAGCATGGTGGGAGGGGGGAGTCTGGAAGGGAAGCAGAGAATTCCCAAATTCCTGGGCTCCGAGAACAAGATGTGATGGTCCAAAAAAGGGTCTGAGGGCGACATCCCTGCCTCTGTCCCCCGACCCCCAGGGAAGGCACCCCCGTCCCAGGTAGGACCCATGGATGCCTTCATTTCCCAGTCTTCAGCGACGTTACGATTTTCAGCACCACTGTCCAATGCTGTAGCCACTAGCCACATATACTAGTAGCTGTCTACACCCAGTTACAGTTAGAATTACACATTCAGGCCCTGGCTGGTTTGGCTCAGTAGATAGAGTGTCGGCCCACGGGTGGACCAAAGGGCCCTGGGTTGGATTCCTGTCAAGGGCACCTACCTCGGTTGCAGGTTCAATCCCCAGCCCTGGTCAACGCGTGCGGGAGGCAACCAATCCTTGTGTCTCTCTCACATCTATGTTTCTCTCTCTGTCTCTCCTCCTCCCTTCCACTCTCTCTAAAAATCAGTGGGAAAATATCCTCAGGGGAGAAACATGAAACATTCAGTTCCTCACTGACAGTAGCCGTGTTTCAAGTGCTCGGTTGCCCCATGTGCTAGTGGCCCTACTCCTGGACAGCACAGAGGTAGAGTGTGTCCGTGGTGGCAGGTCCCGCTAGCCCACGCCGGCTTGGAGGAATCTGGACTGTCTTACACAGAAGTACTCTTTCCTTTCTCTGCTTCCGTCTGATCGGCCCATAAGCAAATGGAGAGCGGAGATGGTAGGTGTAAGGGCTGTGAGCGTGACCTCATTTAACCATTGCAACGAGGCGGGAGTATGATCAACCCTATTTTAGAGATGAACAAACGGAGAATTAGGAAAGACAAGTGTCCTGAATACCCCAAGTTGCACAGCTTAGACCAGCCGTGGGCAAACTATGGCCCGCGGGCCAGATCCGGCCCATTTGAAATGAATAAAACTAAAAAAAAAAAAAAAAGACCGTACCCTTTTATGTAATGATGTTTACTTTGAATTTATATTAGTTCACACAAACACTCCATCCATGCTTTTGTTCCGGCCCTCCGGTCCAGTTTAAGAACCCATTGTGGCCCTTGAGTCAAAATGTTTGCCCACCCCTGGCTTAGACCCATCGATGCTAAGCGTTGAACCCATTCCGTAGCCCGTGTCCTTACACTGGCTGCACTGCCCTTACATGCCCATCAGGCAGCTAGGTCCCAGGGCGAGTGCATTTGCAGCAATAAGCCCGATCATTTCCCGCAGACCCGCTTACCACTGACAGACTGGGGGGTGGGCATCTACCTAGATCTACTTCTAATCTGGCCCCTGGGGGGATGGGAGCCAAATAACTCAACTTGCTTGTTCTCCCTGGTGCCATATTCAAAGTATTCTTCTCCTACTAATCACACGGGACTCGTAAAGAAGTGCATGTTGACAGAACACTTCCCAAGCATTATTTAAACAAAGTTGTTAAAGGCTTTTTAAAAAGGATGATGGTGAAAGTGGCTCGCTCCCTGTCCATTCACACAGAGGAGCCCCCGGGAGCCATTTCAGAGTTGCCTAGGTAATCGGACCCTGTAATTCTTGTAACGGGCCTCCTTCTGTGATCGATGTTGGGTTGCTTGCTCTTTAGCCTCTGGCTTAGCATGCGCAGCCTGACTAGTTTTTTTCTGTCTCTGGGTTTTTTTTTCAGTCTGTTTGTTTTTTAAAGGAAGGATCTGGGCCGAGCATCTGTCAGACCTAGTTTCAAATCCCAGCCCTGCCGTGTGCTTACTGTGGAACCTTGGGAAACTAACCTAACCTCTCGGGGCTCAGTTTTCGCATCTGTAAAATTGGGCTTTTAATATTTGTTGCAATGAAATGAAATCATTTCTGTGCAAGGACCTGGTACATTACAGATGCTCAAACAGTATTCGCCTCCTCCCTTCTCTGCTGAGTCCGGGTTTAGGGTCGTGTGATCTCACAGAGTCAGGAGCTTCGGAGCTGAGAGGGAGCTGAGTGACATTTAGAGGAGCCCTCTCCGCAGACGCTTCCTCTGTTTTTCACCACGTAGGTAAACTGTTGCCCTGGGTTCTGTAATCAAGAACGACTCCCGGTGTGTTTTGGTGACATTTTGCTAGTAAAGAGGGTAAAACAGTATGTTCCCTCTGACAGTTGCAGAGCTCTCCAAAGCAAAAGAGCAGAAGTGGCTTTGATGAGGGCCACCAGAACTCTGCAAAACACAGCGCAGAGGGGTCTGGCTGGACCCCAGTGAGCAGCTGGAGCAGCTGGCTGCCCAGGGCCACGCTTCTGATCCATCCCAAACAGCTGTCAGCACCAGATGGGGGATCAGGGGAAATTCTGGAGCCAAGACCAGAGTCCCCAAAGCTGGAAACATAGTACAGAAGGCTAGACAAGGGCCAGCCTAGACGCCCAAGGTTGAGGAGCAGACATATGCCCTAGTCAGGGTAACCCTGGGGGAGGGTTGAAAAGAACAGGTTGTCAGGAAGCAGAGGGCAGCATTCGGAGGGAGGAAGAGCAGGTCTGGATTTTAACGCAGTTCCACCCCAGCCATGCTTTCCCTCCATCTCAGAGGATGGCCAGCTGTGGAACCTGCCGAGAGCCTCCTCCTGAACCTACTCAAGGTCAGAGCCTGGGAGTGAGGAGAGCTCTGGTTCAGAGGTCAAGCTCTAGAGTCAGGAACAAGCCTGGGTTTGAATCCCAACTCCACCATCACTAGCTGTGTTACTGAGGCTAGTGACTTAACCTCTCTGAGCCTGTTTCCTCATCTGATCATGACTGTGAGCCTGATAATAGTGGTGGTGAAGGTCATGATGGAGGAGGATGGGGATGGTGGTGATGATAATGATGAGAGTGATTATGGCAGTGGTGATGGTGATATGGACAGTGCTAACACTGGTGATGATGGTGATGATGATAGTTAGGCTGATGAAGAGAAGTTGGTGGTGTTGATTGTCATAGTGATGAAGGTGATGATCCTGAGATGGTGGAGGCGATAATGGTGGTGATGGTAGTGTGATGGCGGTGATGATCCTGAGATGGTGGAGGCGATGATGGTGGTGATGGTAGTGTGATGGCGGTGATGATCCTGAGATGGTGGAGGCGATGATGGTGGTGATGGTAGTGTGATGGCGGTGATGATGATAGTTAGGCTGATGAAGAGAAGTTGGTAGTGTTGATTGTGATAGTGATGAAGGTGATGATCCTGAGATGGTGGAGGCGATGATGGTGGTAATGGTAGTGTGATGGCGGTGATGATGATAGTTAGGCTGATGAAGAGAAGTTGGTGGTGTTGATTGTGATAGTGATGAAGGTGATGATCCTGACTGAGATGGTGGAGGTGATGGTGGTGGTGATGGTAGTGTGATGGCGGTGATGATGATGACAAATGATAATGAGAGCCTCCACATCAGAAGGAGGTGAAGAGCAGGCTGGGATCCTGTGACCTTCAGCAATTTAGCTCTTGTCTCACCTCTACCATCTGTAAAATGGTGACTATTCCTATCTAAGAAGGTTGTCACAAAGATTAAATTAACCAAGACATATGTAAAGTGCACAACAAACACCCGCCATCATTTTAATAGTATTATTTTTGCCTGCTCTGCTCCCCTTACTTCAGATCATTCCTGTTTACCCTGGGCTGGTGTCATTAGCCTTGTTGTCAGTGCCTAGCGTTGGGATGACGTACCACCCTGGCCCACGGGACTGGTTTCCTTCCCTATCCCTCCTGCCTCCTGCTTCCTACATAATTAAGGCTGATGGGCATCACTGTGTCCAGGGATTCTGCCTGGGGTTCTGCTAGGAGGTGGGCTTCCTCTGTTCGTAGATCTTAGAAATGAGGGAGGGGATAAGGAGCACAGTCCGTGTCATGGCCATCCTGAAATGATGTCCACGAAGACAGGTGGATGCCAGCCATGGGTGCCAACTTAGATGAGCTCACCTTTGTGTTTGACAGTGGGGCGCTGTCAATCCTACGAGGCAGCAGGCTGGGCACCCAGTGCTCTCTGGCTCCACGTAGTCATGTGGGTGGACCGTGAAGGCTCTGGACTGACTCGGGAATCCCAGACCAGGGCCACCAGCTCGCTGGCCACCCCTCACGTCCTGCTTTCTTCACGCCACCCCCTTGCCTTCCAGAGACCTGGATGCCAAGTCACACAAACCTCTGCCCCTCGGCGTGGAGAATGACCGTGTCTTCAATGACCTGTGGGGGAAGGGCAACGTGCCTGTGGTCCTCAACAACCCGTATTCAGAGAAGGAGCAGGTAAGGGGCGGTGCCCGCTGGGAGGGTGTTGGGGCTGAAGCCAGGAGCACCTATGCTGGGATATGGATTTTGCTTTGGTGTGTTTTTTTCTTTGTGAGCTTACCATTTTTCACATGTTCATTCTGTTTCTACATTAACGGCACTCACGTGGTTCAGGATTTAAAAGATAAAATAGAGCCCTGGCCAGTTTTGCACAGTGGTTAGAGCATCAGCCTGCAGATCAAATAGTGGGTTCCATTCCTGGTCAAGGGCAAGTACCTCCGTTGCATGTTTGCACCCTGTGCCCAGTTGGGGCACATCTAGGAAGTAGCCAGTCGCCGTGTCTTTCTCACATCGATGTTTCTCTCTCTCCCCTCTGCTCCTCCCTCCTTTGCACTCTAAAAAATCAATGGAAAAAATATCCTTGGATGAGGATTTAAAACATATATATATATATAAAAAATATGTCAGGCTGGCATGGCTCAGTGGTTGAGCATTGACCTATGAACCAGGAGGTCATGGTTTGATTCCCAGTCAGGGCACAGGCCCAGGATGCAGGCTTGGTCCCCAGTGTGGGGCATGCAGGAGGCAGTTGATCAATGATTATCTCTCATCATTGATGTTTCTATCTCTCTCTCCCTCTCCCTTCCTCTCTGGAATCAATAAAAATATATTTTTTAAAAAGCTATAAAATGTGCATGATGGAAAGTGTTTCTCTCTCCTTTAGTCCCAGCCACAAAGCTTCCCTCCCTACCGTAAGTAATAGTTGTAATTTTTTGTGGTCCTTTTAGCATAGAGAGACAAGTAGGCACACATTTTTTACACAAACGAGAGTACATTATACAGTTTTGCACCCTGCTTTTTCACTTACCAGCATATCTAGAAATTAGTACCACCAGTAACTAGTAGATAAAGAGAGTCCTCATTCTTTGTGACAGCTGCATAATTTTCCATTGCCTGCCTCTGCCATATTCATTGAGCCCATCCTCCAAAATGAACACTCTTGGGTCATTGCCAATATTTTGCGATGACATTGCTGTAAAGAATGATATCGTATAAACACCTTATTTGGCACACGGGCAGGCTTTTCAATAGAATAAATTCCTAGAAGTGGAATTATTGGGTCAAAGGTCATATTCACTTGTTATTCAGCAGAAATTGAGAAATTGCTCATCATGAAGGTCGTGCCAACCCTACGGGCTGAGTAGGGGCGGGTTGTTTCCCTGCAGCCTCACCAGCTCCATCTTTGTCAGTTTGCCCAGAGGTAGTTCGGCTGCTGGGCAGATATGGTTCCCGAGAACCGCTCGATTTGGCTAGAGAACAGCAGCAGCTCTTCCTCCCCTGCCCAGGCAGCTAACGGGCCAGCAGCCCGAGGGAGGCTTGTGAAGCTGCCGCCCCAGCTCTGCCTGCAGCGACGTCTAGGTGGACATGGTCCAGGTCACTCAGCGGGCCTCCTTCTTCCTGCCCAACACCTGCCCCGAGCCCCGGGCGCCGGGTTGCCAAGCTCTTTCTTCTGGTGCAGCATCTATGGCACTTTCTCCACCAGCTCATCTGAGCAAGGACTCAGAGCCTCTCTGCATAGCTTCACGGGAGGATGGGACGCCGCAGAGCCTCCATGGGGACTGCGTCCTTAGCCAGGAAGATAGGAACATGAGGGATTCTGCGGTAGGTCAGACCCACGGTCCCACTGGCCACTCCCTCTACCTCTTGCAGTGACTTCTGGGAATGTTCGGAGGACAAGCACAATTGTAGCTCCTTATGCTGCCTCAGAAATCAAGGTCATGCCCTGGCCGGGTGGCTCAGTTGGTTGGAGGGTTGTCTGTATATGCCAAGGTTGTGGGTTTGATTTCTAGGCAGGGAACATGCAAGAAGCAACCACTGAACGCATAAATGAGTGGGAAAATCAAGGTCACATTGTGAGCGTGAGGAGGCTGTTATCCATTAATGGAGAAATGAGCAGATAAAGTTAAAATAGTCTATGTATTTTCTTTCTTTAAAAAAAAATGCATTTTTTATTTCAGAGATGGAGAGAGATGGAGAGAGAGAGAGAGAGAGAGAGAGAGAGAAACATCAATGAGAGAGGCGCGGCTGGCATGGCTCAGTGGTTGAGCATTGACCTATGGACCAGGAGGTCACGGTTTGATTCCCCGTCAGGATATATGCCCAGGTTGTGGGCTCAGTCCCCAGTGTGGGACATACAGGAGGCAGCCGATCAATGATTCTCTCTCATTGATGTTTCTATCTCTCTCACCCTCTCCCTTCCTCTCTGAAATCAATAAGAGTATATTTTTAAAATAAATCCTATATAATAAAAGGGTAATATGCAAATAGACCAAATGGCAGAATGACTAGAACACCTGTGGCCTCTTGCCCCAGCCGGCCCCACCCCTAATTGGCCCCTACCCCAGCCAGCCTGCCCCCGATGATCTCCATCAGGGGCAGGCCAGCTGGACCCCACCAGTGCACGAATTTGTGCACCGGGCCTCTAGTAAATAAACAATGAGAGAGAATCATTGATTGGCTGCCTCCTGCATGCCCCCTACTGGGGATCAAGTGTGCAGCTTGGGCATGTGCCCTGACCCAGAATCCAACCATGATCTCCTGGTTCATAGGTCAACATTCAACCACTGAACCATGCCGGCCGAGTTATATTTTCTTTATTAATTGAAATAAAGAAGTGTTGCCATAATGAAAACCTTCCTAAGTCTAAGGACAGAAAGAGGCAGCCTCGGGCAAGATTTGGACTATAGACATGATTTGTTGGAGCTGCACTGTCTTATCCTAAGACAGCGGTCACCAACCAGTGGTCCGTGAGGTCCGAAAGGTTGGTGACCGCTATCCTAAGAGACAGTTTCTATTTGAACTTTTTTTAAATATATTTTTTAAAATATATTTGTTATTAATTTCAGAGAGGAAGGAAGAGGGGAGAAAGATAGAAACATCAATGATGAGAGGGAATCATTGATTGGCTGCCTCCTGCATGCCCCCTACTGGGGATCGAGCCCACAACCTGGGCATGTGCTCTTGACCAGAATCAAACCCGGGACCCTTCAGTCCGCAGGCCGACACGCTATCCAGTGAGCCAAACGAGCTAGGGCTCTATTTGAACTTTGAATGTATTGCCAATATTTCAAAATTTTATATAAATATCATATTTACAACTTCTCTTAAAAATGTGGACAACCTGACCACATTGATCTCTATTCTTATGATGAAACTAGAGGCCCAGTGCACAAAATTCATGCACAGGTAGAGCCCCCAGGCCTGGCCAGTGATCAGGGCCGAACAGGGCCTTCCGGCTGCTGGCCAGGGCCTCCCTTCCCTGGCTGCCAGCTGCTGGCCGGGGCCTCCCTTCACTCCACAGAGCCCCCTGGTGGTCAGCGCACATCATAGCGAGTGATAGAACTCCTGGTTGAACTCCCACAGGGACACTTTGCACATTAGCCTGTTATATATATAAAGATAGATAATCTCCTGGACTGAGTAGCAGCTGCCCCATCTAGACAGGGCTCTCTGGTTTGCCAGCACTCCCTATTGTGTCTCTCTCAGTAAGTTATAAGTAGCAGATTGAGATTTGGGTACAGGGAAGAAGCAGAGGAGGCCTTGCCCCCACCAGAAGGACCCTTAAGGTCCTGCTGAAATCTGAGCAGCAGGACTCTGGACATTTCCTTTCATGCCATCCACCTCAGTTAGACGTTGTTAACCCTGAACATAGCCCTGAACTTAAAGCCTGGTGGGTGGGGCTCAATGCTGGGAACAGAGCAGGCATGATGACTAGCACTGCTGGCCGCCTTTGCAGGATATCATGGTGAAATGATCAGTGTCTTAGTCCGTCCAGGCTGCCAGAAGAGAATACCATGGCCTGGGTGGCTCATAAACAACAGAACTTTCTTTCTCACTGTCCTGGAAGCTGGGAAGTGCAAGATCAGATGACAAAGAGAAACTTCTTGTTTGTCCATTCTCCCTGCAAAACTTTAGCATGGAATCAAGCCCTCTTGCTTTCCCTTCTGATTAAGCACCTAGTCCCTTGCCTACCTGATTTGCTCTCCTAAGGGGCAAGGGGTGGCACCGTGCCCTGCTTGAAGGCAGAACATCTATTTTCACATACTAATTAAGCATCAGTCCAGTCCTTAGTGTGTGCAAAGGGGGTCTCGGGACTGAGGGAAATGAGATTTCCATTTGGCGCTCTCCCCTCTTATTCAGCCGGCTGCCCCTCTCCCACCCTCTGGCTGACAGAGGCAGTGAGGTGGTCAGAGAGATGGCTTCTATTGAAACCCCCTCTCCACTTCCTCCACCTCATCAGGAGCCTGGCACTCCCTCACCCCTGGGGACATGGGGTTTCTGGATGTTTTCCAAATGTCAAAATCTGTTGAGAAGCTATTCTCTGCTTCCAAGTAAGTGTCAGCATCGCCCCACTCCAGAGAGCTCCGAATGATGAGGCAATTGGGGAGTGCTTGTGGGTCCCCAATCTTCAAAAGACCAGGCCTCGTGAGGGTCCTTTTTTGCACCCCAACTGGCTAGCGAGTGCTGGCTTTGCTGAAAACCAAAAAGGGGGCAGCTGGAGCCAGCTCGATTGTGTACAAATGAAGACAAACCAGCGAACACTCTGCTCTCAGTGACAGCCCTGGAACCTTCTAAGTCAGCTCTGACTCACTGCGTATTAATGATGTTGGGATAAAAATAACAATAATACTGATAGCAATACCACCTTGTGGGCGTGTGGCCATCCCCACCCTCCTACTCCTTTACCACAGCCCTGGGCCAAGCACGCAGCACGGGGGTCAGCCTCTTCCTGCTGGTGACCTTGGGCAGACAGCGAGCATCTGCACTGAGCCTTCATTTCTCAGTGGGTCTGATCGGCTCATGGGGTTGTGGGGAGGATGAAATGAGGTCCTGTGTGGGATGATAGCATTACCTATAATAACTAGTGACCTGGTGCACGGATTCTTGCACATTGAAAGGAAATTAATTGAAAGGGGCAGGACTGGGTGAGACAGGCCAGACATGCCCTGGAGCCAACC